AGTCGTATATACTTTTCATAATTCTGATAATTGCGATCTTTATAATGTGAAACACAGCGCGATGACGGTCAAGTAAAGTGATGGAATAAAAGCTGCTTGGATGAGAAATGCTAACGATGTTAATAATGCATGTCTCCGATAATATCAATAATATGATATGTGACACATGTGTCACGATACATAAACACAAATTGTTAAATTTTGGAAAATAAGGAAATGACGATCTATCATGAATTGACACGTTAAACATTAAAAATTTCAAAATATCGATTTCTATTGAATTTTTTATATACAATTGTTAATCAAGAGATAAAACAAAGTTTTATAAATTTTCAATTTCCCAATATAATTTTTTGAATCAATTTTGGAATATGCAATTTCTTCCTTAACAATATTTAGGATTAATCTGTAATTAGTAATTATCTGTGAAGTTGAAATGTTCAATTATTGTCTTTGTAAGAGCAGCAGCGTAAAAGTGCAAAAAATTCGAGAAAAATACTGCTGAGCAAGAAAGAGTTAAAGTACGCACCTAACTCATAATACAATGAAAGTGGAAGAAAGAAATGGAGAACATTGGGAAAATGTTCACGAGACAAACGAGAAAGGTGCGTCGAATTATGGATAGGCGAGCGTATGTAGAGAGGGAGGTAAAGGAAGGACGAGCGAGAGACGAAGAGAGATAGAGCGAGAAAGAATGAGAAAGCGAGTCTGCGGCGTCAAATCCTCGCGAAGCCCCCGGATATCCGTCGGCTCCTTCACGGAATTTATTTTTAATGAAGTGGCGCTTCGCACGCGCGCTGGTCCTCGCAAGATTTTCGGGAAACCTGCCACGAATCCTCCGTGGCCACGGCAACGCTCCTCCTCGAGTCATTCTCCATCCTTTTCTCCCCGACGCAAGAAGATGTAGGAGCAGCGCAGAGGGTAGAAAAGGAGGGAGGTTAAAGGAAATAATGCGGTGACGAGCGGGATTGTCCGAGGAACTCGGAGACGACGAACGCAGCCTTCATGCTTTTCCCCTTTTTCGAAAGTCCCTCTTCGGAAGCACAGGACAACACGCGTGCATAGCCGGGACAGTTTCGCGAGTTCCAAGAGATCGTAGGTGTGCGCATACGTCGGAAAACGGAGACGGAGGGATGGTGGATAATATAATGATGGCGTCGGCTGGGCGAGGAGGGGCGGGGCTACGAGGGGATCAATATTATCCTCCTCCACCTCTACCTCCGTTTCCTCGTCCATGCGTCTCCCTTTCTCTCTCACTCTCTTTCGCTCCCTGTATCTCTGTCCCTCTACATCCACGACTAACCTTCCCTCAGACGCCCCCTCGGGTTTCCCCTCCGACGCGACCACCATCACCACTTCCACCCCACGAATGTCAGGTTCCTCTCCCTTCTATCGCCTCCCACAGCCTCCTCCTTCGGCTCGTCCTTCGGCGTTTCTCTCTCTTTCTTCCTTCTTCATCTCGTGAACGACACGAGCTCACACGAATTCACGCGGAACATTCACACGGAAAATGGGTGAGATCGTTAATCTAGACGCACAAAAACGTAAAGAAACTACGTTTTCGCGCCGCGTCGAGAGATTTATACTTTACGTGTTTTACTTGCTGCAATCGTATTTCGAAATTTCTTTCAATTTGCAACAATGTTCCAATCAATGCAAATTGAAATAATGTCGAGAAATTTGTATTTTCAAGAATGCTATTTTCAAATTCCTATCATAGTTCATGAATATAATCAATCATGAGGCTTATCAACATGAATCTATGTATACATCCGCAAATAATAAATATTTTTTGCGACTTTGCCATTATCGTTTCTCTAAAGTATAAATCGATTTACTGAAATAGATAAAAGCATCGGATTTTTCGCGCAAAATGCTTCGTGCTACATGGTTTCTGTTTATTTCTGCGGCGATTGAATAATATCCAATCTACACGAAGAAAGTCTAAGCTAAAAAGTCGATGACTGATTTATTCGGGAAGAAATATTTTACAGATAGGAGTTGGAAAGCAATGTTCATCTTATGTCGTTTTTTTTCAAATTAAAATTTTGTGAAATGTGTTGTAATCCCTCAAGAACATTACGTAGTCAAGGCAGAACCCGCAAATTTTTTTAATAAAATCTGTTTATACACGTATACTATTTTTCAAAGCATAAGTAATAGAAGAATATCATGAATAAAAACACTATACTCTTTTTATCGTAATAAATTTAAAAAATCTTTCATATTAATCTGATAAGTTTAACAAATTTTATATAAAGTTTATCATGTTGCGGGATATAAAATTCAAATCGTATGCATCAAAAATTTTGTTAAAAATAGCAATTTAAAATTTTGCGAATTTAATTATATTCATTCGCAAAAATATAATGCTATAAATTAGGATCATAAAATGACGCCGCAGTCCGATAGGATATCGTTTGGAAACCGTTCCGTTTAAATAGGCCTTACTCAAGAGGTCGGGCTCCAGTAAGACCAGGTTGTAAGACTCTCTTGACCGAGGAACTAACGGCGCGGCGTGGCGCGCAACTTCTGAGCGCAATGGAACAAATCGCGGTTACCCGGAGAGCCCGGAGCCCGATGTTAAGTCACGGGATTACCGCGGACGGGCCGGTGCGGTGTTCGAGGGTGTCTATGTAGCACGTAGACGTATGTGCGGCGCGGAAGACGACCGTAGGGAAGAGCGACGCCGGCGAATGAGATGGGACAGAGCGAGGGGGGGGAGCGTAGGGGGTGTGATTGATGAGGCACCCCCGGTCACGGTCTCATTACATTTATATAAGCTTTCGTAGATTGAGCCGAGCGAAAGCGTGCGCGCGCGCGAGCGAGTGAACGGACGGAGGCTTACACGGTGGCGAGGGGTCGTGATTTGATGAGGTTTTATTGCCCGAATGACGTGACGGAGCCATTGTTCTCCGAGCTGGTTGCCAGGCGGAAAACAGTGGATTCGATTTATCGCGTCTACCGGACCGCCTTCGAGACCGTTCGACGTTTTCGACACTGTCTGAGAATCGTTCGACGTGCTGCTCCCCGGTTTCAAACGTATACGATTGATCGCCGGAAGAACCGAAAACTTCTGACGCACAGATGTGCTTTAATTTTGCCCCATTTTTAGTCTATTAAAAAATAATCGCGATAATTTCAGGAGAGATTTTATGTACTATGGTTCGTTGCTTATTTTGTGGATATTCATCAAATTCGATTGGGAATGATTATTAATGAGATTAACATAATGTACCGATTAATTAATTGTATCATAAATTATTATCGAAATACAACACGCGTCGCTGGCACATTTAAATGGCACGGGCGATTTTCCTCTCACGATTCACAGATCATTCAGTTAATCCAGTCGGTCAAGCGACAATTTCCGCTCGGGATTCGAGCAAACAATTCGTCAAACCTACGACTTTATGAATCAGGGATATTACAGGATCCTCCTAGCTGTTTCACGTGGCGTCGGTCGAGATTCCGCGGCGCTGTTAAACTTTATGGGCGCGGCACCTTGTGTGTACACGGTACGCCTTTGCGCGAGAGAGTTTATTGATTCTCGAGTCGCGGCATCTTTCGCCCGCCGTACCAGTACCATTCTGTCCTATCGAGTTTACTCCCTCCTGGCTTACCGTCGCCCATGATGTCGCGGCTACCAGTGCGCTTCGTAAAATTCAATGATGTTCCTCGTGCGGCTTACCGACGCGAGAAAAAAAAATACACGTCTATACGTAAATCTTCCGCGACTTCGGATCGAAGATAAACTATTTCTCGCGATAAAAATGCAATACAATGCTTTATAATTACATACCGATATCGTAATATCAACAATTGTGACAACAGAGGGAAATATAATACTGATAAACTGACAAGATTAATCGTTTTCAACAAGTGATTAGAAAATTCACAATAAATAGTAAATTGAAATCAGCGTAAATCAATTGACGAGATTTTAAACTAAAATCTCAATCATTCTTTTTACACAATTATTTGCTATTATTATTTTGTTGAAATTATTTCGCTTAGTTACACAATTAAGGGCACTAATAAATTCGAGCTGTTACGCGACGTTTCGAGAATAATCGTTGAGAGGAAAGGACATTATTCTTCATTAGCTAGTCGTCCATCCCCCCACTTTCAATGACTCGTCGCGCCTCTTAGCGTTTCCACGGCGTGATCGTAGAGCCATCCATCTTACGGAGTATTCTCCCGACCTCCTTCAGCTTTCGTTGCTTCACCCTAGACACCATCCTACGCTCCTGCTTTCCTACGTTTCTACCTTCCTTCCCAACCATCCCTTTGCCGAATACTTACTCCACGACCCTCCGTATGTCGCATTTTCCCGCCCCCTCGCCTTACAGTTACGCAAGAGCGACGTGTATCTGAGCGCAACCACCCGTATAATTGTTGGGGGCGAGCGGAGACGACGGCGGGCGTCGTCGAGAAAGAGAAACGACGGAGACCGTGGGTGGGTTTGAGTTAAAGGGCGAGCGAAGAGATGGGAGAAGGGAGGAAAAGGCTGACGAGGTACGCCGTAGTATCGAGCGCGGGAGAAGGGCCGCCTTGAATTAACGCCGTCATATTTCAGGATGGAGGAGCTCGCCGGGGTTTTCTTGCTATTTGTCTCGGAACTCGCCTACCGTCTACCGCGAACGAAAGCGCCGCCGTTGCTTTCTTCGTTGCGTTCGTAACTAATAACCCGTGATGTACGAACGCTCGCGAAATCTGGCGGGAAACAGTGCACGTTGTTGTATCTTTTTCCATCTTTTTCTCCGTTCTCGATTTACATTAATAATGAAATCCGGAGAAACGGAGGGTAACGCCAATCTATCTCAAGAACCGTAGAATTTTTAAAATACTGCTTACACGCAGCTTTAGAAGCTGAAGATAAAGTATTGTCGAAGCAAAGGCGATCGAATCTCATCTATATGTATTGAATTTTTCAAATCATATTTTATATTGCAATTAATAAACATATTTCTCGCAACGCGCCGTTCTTCTGCTTCTAGGTCTGGTTTAAGAACAGAAGAGCGAAATGGCGAAAGAAGGAGCGTAACGCGATGAATGCCGCCGCGCAGGCCGCGGCGGATTTCAAAACCGGCTTCAGTACAGCCAGCCTGAACGGCTTCATCGCCCAGCCGTTCCCGGATCCGGACACTCTTTACAGCTCATACAGCACGTACAACAATTGGGCGGCCAAGGTGCCATCGCCGTTAAGCGGCAAGAGCTTCCCCTGGATGAACACGTTGGGCTCGGTGGTGCCTGCGGCGTCGCACCATCATCATCACGCGCAGGTCAGTCCGGTGAATCCTTTCAACGCCGCGGCGACGTCGGTCGCGGGGAGTCACGTGGGCGGAATGTCGGTGTCGGTCGGTCAGGCGGCTACGTCCATGTTGCCGGGGATGGGTTCCGGTCTGGGTGTCGCGAGTTCGCCGGTCGCCGCGTCCGGCGCGGCGTGTCCGTATGCCGCGCCGGCGGCGCCGCATCATCCGTACGGACCGCCGGTCTACACGCCGCATCATCGGTCGCCGGAGACTTGCACGGTGATGACGTCGAGCAGCATCGCCTCGCTAAGAATGAAGGCGAAGCAGCACAGCAGCGGTTACGGCGGCGGCGGTGGTTCGTTCGGCGCGGGCGGCACCACCGGCGGCACCACGGCCGGCAGTATAAGTCCCGTCAGCTCGAGGGCATCGTCCGTCGGCGGCGGCGGTGGCGGCGGCGGCGGCGGCGGCGGCGGCAGTCTAAGCGCCTGTCAGTACGCGCTAACAACAGCAGCTGGTGCGAATCCTCATTCTCCGGGCGGCCCCGAGGCGCACGCCAACGCCACCGCCAGAGCTCAGGTCTGAGGCGACGCGGGGGCTACCTCTAGCCCCCATCATCACAGCGTAGCGAATCCAAATTCCGGGAGTTCCCTCAACGGCAGCGGCAGTAATCAAGTGGCGACCACGGTGTCCGGTCAGCCGAGCGACAATCAGCTCAGGTCGCAAGAGTGACCCAGGCCTAGGTCCGCCGCCTCACCGACGCTGTCGTCGACGCCTTCGTCGACGACTTCGCACCCGCACTATCTCATGTATGACGAAGACGGGGCCGCGACGGACCAGAAGATGGAAGTGGACGAGCGGGGTGTTATCGAGGCGAGCAGCATGGTGAATCCTGAACAGGTGATGGCTGCCGCCGGTGGCATCGGCGTGGGAGTCGGTATCGGCGTGGGCGGACCAGGCGCGGCTACCGCGGGTGGTACAGGATTGACTGGCTACTGGCAGCACGCGACCAGTGCTACAAGCTACTGGCCGTCGTTGTTCGACTGTTGGACGACACCGCCGATCGCGTCCGGCTCGCAAACGCTGTCTTTGCCACGGGATGACGATTGAGGTAGAATTTTGTCGAAATACCGTACCGTATACCGAAATTTTATCGAAATACCGTATATCGTATCCTGATTCCTCATCTCGTTACGAGATCTTATTTCGTTCTGTTAGAACGAATTGAATATTTCATATTTAAGCAAATGTGGCGCTGGACTAACACATTTATATATTTATTGGAAATTACTTTTTTTTAAAAAAGTATGTAAGAGCCAAAAGAATTTCGTGCATATATCTTTATAAAATTAAGGACACAAAATTATGTTCAATATATTAATTAATGTTGGATTGAATCGGAAATGCAAATTTTGTGTCGCGGAATTCAAAGTATTTATTTTTTATTTTGATAATCTTTGATATTGGGTTTTTCGCGAAAATTTAAGACGAAAACTACGGTGAGGAATCAGTGTCTGTTACAGCGGCTAACAATGATGACAGAATTTGAAGTCGAAAATACTTGCTTACGTTGTAAATATGATATAACACACTACGAACGCGTTCGGCAAACTACGAGTTGGATAGATTCACGGAAATTCCTGAAGACAGGTAAAAAGTTGATGGAGTACAAATATTAAACTTTCACCGCGCGATGAAAAATATATTTAACCCCCACTTTCTTCAATTTTCTTTCAAATATTTTAAATCTGGCAAATATTATATTCATTATTCACGGTGTGCTGTATATACATTGCGTGATATTATTTCGCAAGAATTTCGGAAGAAATGAAAAGAAATATATCGTCTCGAGTCGTATGAATATGCTAATTGTATACGATGCATGCTGTAAGAATCTTTTTTTTTTGCTACGACAAGAAAAATTGGGGGGTTAATTTGTAGGGAAAACGGCGCTGATAAAGATCCATCGCGAAACACGTACTCACTATTCTGTAGATACATGTATAGTAGAACGCCAGCTCTTTATGCGTGGCGTAACTGTATACCAAAAAATTGTTACATTGTAATGACGATAATAACGATTATTCAGCAAAAATACCAAAATCTTGTAGGCTGTACGTAACGAATTATGCATTGTACAGTATGGAGCAAGGAGCGCACACCCTACCGATTAAGCGTACGTTATAAATATGACTTAGTGTATCGTCGAATAATTATTAAAATAATATTCACAAGTATCCTCGCGCGGCGCGTGCAATTGGATTTTTGAAGTCCGTCGATTCCTCTTCCTCTTCGTATTTTTATCGTTCTAACACGACAGCGTTTAACTTATACGTATATCCCTTGATTATGTAACTAGAGAAGCGTTAATGTAACCAACGAAATGTCCTATTTTTATAAGTAGCTTATTATTTAGACCACACATTGTGAGGAAACAAAACCAAAGTTAAACCCAAAAAATATTGCATATGTATAGTGATTATGCCGCGCATTGAGGCCACGAATAATTGTATAAATTATTATATATAACGGGGGAGTGTGGTGGTGCGTCGGAGGAGAATTTTGACGGGGTGAAACGACGACGACACGACGCGAATCGATCGACTTCGGAAGCCGAGCGGCCGATCGCTGTGGAGATCGAGACATAGTCACGTAAGATAGGCGTAAGAAACGACCGTTATTTTGTATGAATCCCAATGTCGTACAAATGTTCGTCGTAATCACATATCCCAGTCCCTGCGGTGAGTGAATCCGTAATGTTCACGCAGAATGTTCTTCATTCCCGTTTGTCACCTCACTCACTACGTGTAAACGTTCCTACTGGGCGATATTGAGCGCCGTAAAAGGCCCCGTTTGTAATCTAGTCACAATAAAAACCAATTCTATTCTAAAGCAAAGCATCTCGGAACTGTATCTCCTACCCGCGCGCACTCGTCGATAAGATTGCAATTTTTGTTTCAGCAAGTTTACGATATGACAATTTTTCACGATTTTAAGTTTCATCTCTTCATTTAACTCTTTACTCTCAAATCCTACGATTGCTTGAACTAAAAAAGAAAAATGATAGGAAAGACGATATGGTTGGTGTATACGCGATGATACTGCGCTGTGCTACGGAATAGAAGGCGATCGGAACGGGGAGAGATGGGCAATGAATGCCGATACATGATCGTGCTATTTATAGGTAGTTAGTTATGCCCCTCGGACATTGAGGGAACATCGATAACCTACGCGGAGTCCACATGCATGCCGAGCGTATAACGTATTGCATTACGGTGGTCGGGACGCGGCGATAAATTATGCACCCTCGGCTGGCACGCGAGGGGTTGGTCGTTCGCAGCCACCCTCGGGCGCTAAACTAAACTAAACGTATATTACAATGATCGTGGCGCCGTTAATGGCGCAGCAGTTATAAGATGCTGCACGGCCCCGTATGTTCCCCATTATGCGTATATGACAGTCGCGCTTTAAGAAAGCCATCGGCTTTATTACGATTCGGTGAGTAATAGCGTTCGAAAACTAACATGTTACTGTTTTAATCACATACGGCGAACTGTATTAATCACATTAATTATTATTTGTTCATTTATATGACACACAACGGGCGTGATTCAATTTTATTTATAACCGTGAATGCAAAATTATCGATATTTTTTTTTGAGATCTCGGTAAGATTTTATCACGCTGCTTAAAATTCCTCTTAATTATAAGTCCAATGTACAAAGAGCGTTTTATCTTTCCGCAACTTATCTTCTTCCGTAATCTTATCACTCGTACACGGCGCACGACACTCTTTCCTCAAAAACCTCCGACTGTGATGAATACTTTTAAAACCTTGCTACATCATTTGTGAGATTTCCAGGAAATTTCAAAAAGATTCCCTTTCTCTCTCTCTCTCTCTCTCTCTCTCTCTCTTTCCCTGCTTGTTTAATATTTAATAACATATTAATAGAAAGACTGGAAAAATATTTTCTTTCATATATGCTTAAATCCTATTCCATTTGGATGTTGCTTTGAAAAAAAATACTACTTTATCTCGTACATTAAAATTATTAAACGCAACACGAATCTCGTAATTGGATAATATTTTTAACCGTATGACACTATATACCGCAAAAATAAATAAAAAGCAAAGCCTTCTTTTTACCAGACGTCCTACTTTCTTCTCGCTCTGTAACAACGATTCTTCCTCCGCCTTTTCGCCGGTCTCCAATTCAGGGCAGGTAATTCGGTTCTCGTCCGCCTCCGTGCATCCCCGACCGAACATTTGAATACGGACGAGCTTCGGCGAGACGTGGCAGGAAAACGAGAGACAAGGAAGGGCGGGGGATGCAAAGAGATGGAACGAAGTAGGCTAGGGTGGGCCGCAACCCACGTTTTCCCAGCGAAATGACCTTCGCCGGTAAAAAGACGTGCCGGGACTGTCATCGTCTCCGTCGGCTTACGAGCAGTCGCCGTAACTCCCGAAACTTCTTTCCGCGGAGTGAAAGCGCGCGGGCGACACGAGGGAAGGTAAAGGCGGAGGGTTAAGGACCATCACGACGGGACGAATCGCGAGAGGGGGGGAGTGAAAGACGCAAAGACGGAGACACGGGCCCGCTGAGATTCGAGGATTTACCCGCGGAATAAAATCCGATACAGTCCCGTGAATATGTTGTTCTTACTTACGGCGCGCTCGCTCTCCCATGGGCGACGCGATCTTTTCCCCTGCGCCAAGACCGTACGTACGATACGTTCGATTCGGGCAGACAAATATTGCGGATTGGTACGCCGCCGTAATTCCCGCGGCCCGCCGTAACCCCTGCGATTACGAAGTTACGCCGGGCTTGCGACGACCTATCGGCGTCAGATTAATATCCGCACAATTCGACGTGACGTTCACAATTATAAATAAAACCGAATTACGGTCATCGTGTCACATCATATTGATTAATAATTAAACAAATAATAATCAAGGTAATTAATATAATTAATGCGTTTCCTTTCGAATGTTATTATTCATGGAATTGTAATAAAGCCGATGGCTTTCTTAAAGCGCGACAGTTATATACGATATTACTGAACATACGAGCCATACAGTCACATAAACATAAAAGTGCAAAGTTGCTTCTGTAAAAGCAAGAACACGTTTAAGGTAAGAATATCTGGCAATAATATTTTTACGATCCTGATATGCTTGTGATAATTATTTTTATAATTACTCTCAAGGATTAACGTCGATGCGTCTTGGTTATTAGTTGAAACGAGCGCTTTTTACGAGGCTCGTCACCTCTCTCGTTTCCGCGCTGTAAAGTTTGCGAAGATCACGCGCTCAAAATATCAGGCGTCTGAGTAAGATAAAATGGCAATTAACATTAACTTGAGCAACATGTCTCGCGAGAGGTAATAAAGATACCGGGTCCGCGTATCTGCGCCAACATCACACTGCGACCTTATCGTCGTTCTTACGCATTGGCGTAACCAACGTATTTGGCGGGTTAGTGTGAACTCCGCACCTTCGCCGTTATTATCTCGTGTCGTCAACTCGTGTAGTCAAGGTCAGTAATGTCGGTAGGATAACAGGTGATGTAAACGCTGATAAAAAAAAATTAACGACTTCTAATCTTTAACGTTCGTTTCAGCATTGAATAGACTCTTAAAATTGCGAGCAATTCACTTTCGTTTTCGTTTAACGAAGTAAGTGATTCAACGCTCAAATAGTTTAAAATATATCCGTGATTCTGCCGTGGTTTAAACGTCACCGAGCATCAATTAAAATGTTTGACTTTGAATGCAGCAATTTCTGGGCGATGTTTCTTCCGCTTCTCTAAACACGCCACGATCTTTTATGCAAACTATTGCACCCTACTATATCTCGTATATATCATACAGAGTGGATCTCCGATGCCGTGTTATTTATCGCTCGTACGCGAGCTACCGCAGGTGATGCTGCTGACTCGAGTCAAATGAACCGTTCGTGATATTCAAGATACTTTCAAAGTTACTCCAACTGGCTCGGAAACCCATTAGATACAAAAATGTTTTATGTCCAAAAGAGTCACAACAAAATTATGATTAATCTTTGTTATAAAATCGTTATTCGATTTTGGAAACTTTTCTTTTGTACAAATTTTATATTGAAAATAACAAAAATTTTTTTATATTTGACATTTTTTTCTATCATATTTTTCTATTTTAAAAACAACTTTATTACTATGCAATATATATTATATAACTTCTAATCAACTTTATCACGACATGCAGGCAGACAAATGATATTCATGAATGAACACGTAAGAGTATAATTATAATTTAAAGTAGAAAATATTTCTTTCTGATCAATTGGCATTTTGGCGAATTATTTATTCGTCCAATTGTTGTAACATCTGGACTTGACATCGAACGGTCCATTTGGCAAAGCCGATTGTCT